CTCCATGAGCTCCCAATTTCAGTCACGCCATGTCAAGCGTGGTGCAAGAAACCCAGGCTAAAGTGTCTAACTCTAAATCATTAAACCCTAATATGCAGGCTAACCTAACCCTGATAAAATTAAAAGCCCCGACAGGAATTCTATACTCGAATGGGAAATAAAACCAAACCTTTAACCCCCTTTCAATATTATGAGAAAGACTAGAGCCCAAGAGAAAGTATATATAACTCCAGCAACCTGGAGGTACCAGGAACTCAACATGTATTTAATTGCCACCCACAATATTAAACTCTAATATATGCAAGTGTCTCTCTCAATGCATTTAAATGGCCTTTTCTGTTGTTTTCAACAATAGTTGAAGTGTTATATTTAAAAGTATCAGAGCCAGTACAAAATTCTGTGTAATGTGCTCATTTCCATATCTCTGTTAGGGCATTTCAAAATAGCTTGGTGTATTGTATTTTTTTAGATTTGTAAATTGTCAAAACGAACACCATTGAGTTGATCTGGAAGGCCGACAGATTCATGCTTGTGAAAGTGAAAGAAGATGATAAATTTGGCTATACACATGTAATTTTGTTGTTGTTGTTGATGCGCGCAAAAATAAGTATTTTTGGTCATGTCTTTGTACATTTGTACTGGTGCCCAGAATAAAAGAAAACATCAAGTTGTTCTTCAAGTATTTGCTCCATCATTCAAGTTCACAATACAGTGCCCAACTGTTTATTAGCTTTTATAAATCATTATATTCCACTTGATTATTTAATAAGGGGTAACAATTGCAACGTATGATGTATTAACTAACATCTTTGGTACTAATTAACAAAACAAGCAAAAAGCCAATGTGACATTGTAAATCAAACTACTCTACTTTGAAATGAATTCTTATCCCCAGTAGACCCTGACGGAGATTTATAGTGGTTTCCTCGCCAATCCCTATACTGGTTTGGCACACTAGAATAAAATGAAAGAAAATGGGAAAGTTTGCTCTTAGCCTCTTGACGTATGCACGCAAAGACAGTGATTTTTGGTGAGGTCAACCTTCTGTAGCAGTGCCCAAAGTTTAAAAAAATTACAGACTGCTCTAAAACTTTAATGTTCAACACAGGCACATGAACAATGCATCTCTTGGGGAGTCTGCAGAAAAAAATTATTCTCATCTGTCTTACCTCAGGCCAGCATTGATCTTTGATATTTTCAAGATGCGTTAAACAAATGTCTTTCTGTGAAATAATTATAAAACTGAGTCCACATCAGAGGGCTGATGTAAAACTCTATTATGACAACTGAGAACTATAAACTGCTTTGAGACATGAGAAAAGTGCTATGTAGGTGCATATCGCTGTTGTAAAATTCACTTTTTTCCTCCATATCAGCTACTTATACACATTTATTCCAATGCCGTTAAATTAAAATTGAACCAATTATTCCTAGTACTGTGCCATAAGCAAGCAAGAGGACCTGGGTTTGATTCCCGGGAGGGGTGAAACTTTAAGCAAGTTTCCTTACTTCTCAAGTCCATGTTTACCTAGCAGTAAGTAGGAACCCGGTTGTTTGTCGATTGGCAGATGGCTTTCCAGGGGTAATAACCCCTAAAAAAATATTAATTATTATGTCTCAATCCACGACTGTTTGTGACATATTGCTGAATGTAATTGGCTGCCACGTTTTGCCCACAAAATACAGTAAATCCCCTTTACCTGTGAAGGGTTAGGTTTAGCCTTGATGACTTGTTAAGGCGCTATATCAAATGTAAGGATTATTTTGTTATAATTAATTTCAGTCTTCCCTCAAAACTGCAACAAAATCATAAGCATTCGATTCCTGTTCCATGTTGAGCGATAATCTCAGCCAGGCTGGCAATATCAGCATTACAAATTGAATTTAATGTTCCTATGTTAGGGAATTATCTATTAATGACTCCTGTTAAAAGTGCACATGTGTCTTTCTCTAAACATGGAATTAAAATCATATTAGACTGCAACATCGAGGGAGGCAAAGAGTATGAGGGGTGTGGAGAGATTGGGGAAATTATTCCAAGAGAGGAGCTGATGGGCTTCTGGGCTTTTCTTTTTTCTTCTCTTTCCTTTCTCCAGCTTAATAACACCCACCTTGTCACATTCAATTGCTGCGTGCCTGCCTGGCTGCTTTGTAGGAAGCAATGAGTTAAACTGTAATCATTGTGGTTGACTGCTGGTTGGGCATTTTAGTCCAACATCGCCAATACATTAGACTGCTGATGATAGGAAAATGCTGAGTTTCCACATGGGCGTTCAGTGTAGCCATGACAGAACTTCCTTGCCCGCCAGGTATAAAGTCACCTGAATGGCTCACAGCTCCAGGTTGGATCAAAAAGCACACATAAATAAAGCAATCACCAGAATCAAATTGATTCTTCAACAGAATACCCATGTTTTAATCCCTCCTAAACTTATTCACACATTAATATTTGGGGCACTTTGGCGGTTCACAATTAAGGTTTACACCTCTCTCCATTATCCTGTGATCTTTGTTTTTTCACATCTATCAGGGCAAAAGTAATTTCACTTTTGGCAAAACACCAAACCCCGACCTCTGCCATCTGTTCCATTTATTTTAGCACAAACCATGAAACTCTTGTTTAAAGAGCTCAAAGTACATTTTTTTGTACGGTTTCCGCTTACTAAACACTACTTTACAGACATCACCATTCACCTCACTTTGCAGCCTCCCATCAGTTCCACACTGAGGTCTATAATGTACCATGTGTAAACCATGTGCAAACGCGTTTGTACCAAGAGAATTACAGATGCTTCTAATTTTTGAATGGATGGAGCAAGTGACATCACTTGGCAACTGTGAGCAGCCCTAAACAGACCTCCAGCAATTTAGGAGGCTTGGACTGTCTGACAACACTTCAGGCACAAGAGATCAGAAAAGGGAAAAAAACAACAAAGTAAAATTAGAGGGTAATATCCCCTCAGAAACATTGTTCGAGGAGCTGTAAATTATTAATGTTGACACTGATTCTTACGAAAACTTAGAATTCCGGAAAGATTGTACCCTTCTGCATGTCAATAAGTGTACAGTGAAAAGCTGGACAAGGTCAGACCCGAATAATAATAACAATAATCCGTGAATTTGATATAGCGCTTTTCACGTCTTCTAGATGTCTCAAAGCGCTTCACAGAATTTACTGTAAAATGATTTGACTGAATTTTTTTTGTTGGCGAAACGCGGCAGCCATTGCGCACAGCAGTGTCCCACAAACAGTCGTGGATTGAAGTGACCAAATTATTATTGTTTTTTTTCTTGAGGGATTATGTGATAAATCATGTCTGTATACAAAGGAACGATAAAGGGTTTTAAATTTAGCTGAGCCTCATTCACTAGGAGTGTATAATAAAGTGAGACCATCCATTGTGTCAGATAGGAAACTAACAACTAGGAGATGTGAGTTTAATAATGGCCTGTTTGGAGCAAGAACAGTCACAGAATCATAGAAAGTTTAAAGCCATTCGGCCCATGGTATTATACTAACTATCCAACTGAAGCTATCCACTCTAATCTTACTTTTTACCCTCACCATTTAATATTATGCCATATTAGCTCACAAAACACACAGTCACAGCCCTTTACAGTATATCATATCAAGCGCTTTGAGACAGTTGTGACGACGTGATAAAGCACTATATCAAATGCAAGCTTTATTATTAGTAGTAGTGTTCTTCAAGTATTTACCCATTCATTTTTAAATGTTGCTATGGGCTCAGATACAACAATCATTCGTGATAAGGGATTCCAAACTCTAGACAATCCTCTGCATTAGATTGAGCTTCTGACCCCTCAAATTTTAGGGTAATATCTTTATTATATTAAATTTTATTATATTATTATTATTATTTTATTTTATAATATTTTATAATAAATTATAATAAATGTTAGGGTAAGAGTGCTTTACCAGGACAAGATTGAAAGCTCAGCAAGGGAGAGGAGAAGGCTTAGGCGAGAAGTGGTTGGAGGGAAGGGGAAGGTTGGCATAGGCATATTTGAAGAGGCAAGTTTTGAAGGGGGAACTTAAAGACAGAAAGAGAGGGGCGAGACAGAGTGGTAGAGGGAGGGATTTCCAGAGTTAAGTGGCATAGGATCTGAAGGCCCAGCCACTGATGGTGGCATGAAATGGGCAGGAGACGCGCAGCAAGCCTGACCGGAGGGAGCGAGTGAAGGAGGAAGCTGGAAGACCAGGGAGATAAGGAGGTCCTGGGGAAGGAGGAATTTCTAGATGAGGGTGAGAACCTTGAAATGAATCTACTGGGAAACTGCAGAAAAATGTGTGTTCCCATGTTACATGATGCGCTAGTCACTAAAACCAAACACAATATTGCAGCAGTGATGAAGGCAGGTTTCCAGATGGCAATGTTTGCATTAACTGAACAGAATAGCAACATTGGAAACTTCTATACATTATAAAAACAGTGAGGTACAAAGCCGTTGACATAGTTTCTAATGTCACCTTAATTGTTTTACAACTTTGTAGCACAATCCTAACCAGAGATTATTTCATTTTTATCTATTTTGTACCAGGATCACATTTTACCTAATTGCTCCAAGATTTTCAGAAAAAGGATATTTCAACTATATCGGTTCCCCTAGTGTTTTGATACTGAAGTAACCAGAATTAAGCACTATTATCTTGCATGTATTAATAAGCCTACAGTTACTTATGTGGACAAGTTGCCTCACTGTTCAGATTAATATTGTAGCAATTCTTTTCTGAAACACGAAGCCTTCAAACCGAACATATTGGGTTTGTCAGTCACGAGGCCGTACTCTGCACATCTGTACCTCTGATCACACTATGAAATCACTCTTGGATTATAGAAGTACTCCAGCTATTGGCCACAAAAAACAGATGATTCCAAAAATGATTTTTATCCTTGAAAAAGAAAAGAATTTGAATTGTTTTCCACTGAAATGAGAAGTGTTTAGGCAGCCAGTTCCAACTAGTCTGCGTCACATACCTTCAATTTCGCCATGTCACCATTGTTTCTGTCCTTCTTAAAGTACGGATTGAATTTGTTGATTTTGACTTGTTCAGTTCTCGTGTTTGAAGGTGAAGCTAAGCAAAAAGGAAGATCATACATTACAGGAAGCACACACCAATGGCACGTACCTTTTTATGTCACACTGCAGTGGGAAAACAGAAAGGTAGGTATTCTGAAAGGATGAGATTAGATGGGCCAAAAGGCATTCTTCATCTGAACTAGCCTTGTGATCTTGCGATGCTAACCATTTTAAAAATGACTTACCCAAATGTAACTACTTGAGCAATTCACATATTTGCCAATTATTCTGTTACTAGGTCTAATGTTGTACGTTACTCTCCTCAAGCACAACAGATATTCCAAATGCAAGGATTAGTAACAAACAAACTAGAGTATGATAAATGAAATCATCTTACTAGTCGCAGAAGTAGTGTGAGCGGTGGCTCTGCCCCAGATACTATCCTCTTTCGGTTTGGTAACTCGAACCCCAAATTCATAAACAGTATTTGGTTTAAGTTTGTCCACCACTGTTTTGGTTGTTGGGCAGAATTGATACAGCCATTTCTTGTTCTTTTCTTTTTCTCTGTACCGAACAGTAAAATGCCTAAAAGAAACGTTAAAGAAATCATCTTTCTGTAAAACAAAATCATCTTAAACATACTTGTATAGAGAGGATGCTTATCCACAGAACCCAATGTCAGAGGCAGTAATAACACAACAATTCATAGAGCAAAATTGTTCACAGAAACCATGTGTTCAGCTACACTCACAATGTTTCGTCTCTATATCATGTTTGACATTGAATTTTAGCCAAATAAATTACATATCTTGAAAGGCATTCTTTTCGAAGGAAATCTGGAGTGCCACTTGACTTGGCACGTCAACTTGATTGAAAATGCAACTAAATAAAATAGTGATTTATGAAAAGACACATTCTTTCGTATAAAAAGATAATGTAACTTGTGGCTGGGAACACTATAAATGGTTGAAACGAACGACATAATCTTAAACTTGTGTTGGATGTGCATCCACGTTTGATGCACTACATGTACTGTATTCAGAAACTTTAAAACAAAAAAACTCTACTTTTTTTCTAATTTGATCCCATTTTGGTAAAAATCAAAGAGTAACTTTACCCAGAGAGTAATTAACACCTGGAACCGGCTGCCAGAAAGGGTGGCTGAGGCCAGGACACTGAATTAAATTAAAAAATAACTTGATGCTGTGATGAGAAGATGGTAGGGTGTGTATTGTGGAAGCATAACAGCAAATGGGCCAAAGGACCTTTTTCATCCAAATCCACCTTAGGATCTTGTAAATTAAGAAGCACTAGAAATGATCATGATGGGCTCAATTTAGTAATATATTCAATAGTTATCCTAACAGATATTTACTGGATGTGACTGAGGTGAATGCATCACTAGGCGCACCAGTGGACACACACACACATCCATCATTATTTAAGATTGTGACTCTGATGCCAATGGATGCTAATCTCTGCAGCACACAACTTCCGAAGAGCACCACAATCCTTCATCAACTTTACTCCAATCTGTATTTGGCTCACTGTAGCTAAGTCAAGGGAGAGGAATGTCTAGAATTCAAGATCCTCATCGTCACCTACAAGGCCATTCACGGCCTCGCTCCCTCTTACCTCTCCGACCTACTATCCCCGTACCTACCTGCCCGTACCCTCCGTTCCTCTGGCTCCGGTCTGCTCCACATCCCCCGCCCCAACCGCCCTACCATCGGTGACCGGGTCTTCAGCCTCTCAGCCCCTAGGCTCTGGAACTCCATCCCCCAGTGCCTTCGCCGCTTCCTCCCTTTCCTCCTTCAAGGCCGGTCTCAAGACCTTTCTCTGTGACCGTGCCTTCAGCTCCCCTCTCGATGCTCTACCCCCTCCTCGCTCCCTCCCTTCCCTCCCCTCACCTTGACCATTTCCCCCCTGCTCGGGTCCTGACCCAACTGTCCAGCGCCTTGGGACGTCCTCCCGACGTAAAAGGCGCTCTATAAATGGAATCTTGTTGTTGTTGTTGTTTCGTCTATCCACAAAGTTGAAGACTAAATAGCCAGACTCAGGCAGATTTCAGATTCCAATGCAATACCATCCATGACATAAACATATCTTAAATACACATTTGTTTAACGGATGGAGTGGAGCAAGCCTCTCTCCCCAATTCCTTGAATGCTGCTGCTGTGAATTTGCATTTGTGTCACCTACTTCCACTTAAAATGTGTGTCAGAGATTAGCAAAGATATATTTATGGTGCAGACTTGTTAATGCTCAGGCTTTTACATTTTGATTGGCTACATAATAATCGGTATATCACGTTGGAAGGACATCTCAAAACGTTTCACAGGATGTATTGTAAGACTGTGTGCTTTTGTGGGCTAACAATATAACTAGCCTGTTGAAATCATTTTAAAGTAATGAAAATGCCTTAAAAATGGCGTGTTAAAAGGAACAGCCGAAAATGTCTTTAAAAAAATGTTGCTCCCACCTTCCAAAATGAGCAGAGGAGACTGAAAGAAAGAAGGAAAGCAATTGGCTTCAAGATTTAGAAAATGAGCTGGAATAGTTTGAAGAGATAAAATTTTATAAAAATAAGAAGGAGCGGGAATAAGTCAGACACTAGAACAAAAATGAGACCACTGGATGAACAGATGTTAAATTTGTAAAATGTTTTATTTTCACTTTCAAAGTAAGTCAATTGAAATAATAGAGATGTGTTGTAATATTATTTTAGTGGTTTAGGATTAAATTACAGTAACAGTCATCATGATGTTTGAGCAGGTTTCTTACTGTAATATTAGTGTTTCTCAATATCGGAATTTATGGTCTGAAAGCATCGAAACAGCAGCTGCAATGCAGAGCCACAAAAAAAACTCTGTGCATCTATCAACATTCAATTTGGGGATTTTTTCTCATGAGAAAGAGTGGGAGTGGAATGCAGAAGTGATACAAAAGATCGCTCTCTAAGGCCCATTATTGAGCAACTCAGTGGAACCCCGAATTGAATCAAACTGTGCCATTTCTGATCCAGGAATGGTCACTTGATGGGAAATGAAACACAATGATCACCCTTAACTTGAGCTGCTCTGCCACAAAATGCTACTCAAAGTGAACCAAACAAATCTGTGCTGTTACGATATACTGCATCTGGGGAGACTGAGCATTTAGGAAACTCCCAAGTAGGAAGTTGATGTCATGTCTGCCTGTACTGTTACCATTAAATGCAACACGTAGATTAAGACACATCCAGTGCCAATAAAAACTGATGAAAGCAACTACTGGGCTTCATAAACACAAAGTGCACTTTGAAAGCTGAATGAACAGCATGGTGCCATGCTAGACTCATGTAGGTCAGTTAGCCTGACTGACGTCAGATTAACCACATTGTTCAAGACCGTCTACTCCATGCTTTGAAAAGGAGAACGGCGCAGTAAATCTGAAGCATTGCACTTAAAACGGATCGAATTCTGGGGTATCAGGGATAGGTGAGCCCACAGTTGAGATACTTTGAACAAAATGAAAACATAATTTCCGATTTTATCTTTGAAACTGTGCAATTAAGCCATGTGTCAACACTCTCGCCTCTGAGTCAGAAGATTCTGAGTTCAAGCCCCACGTGAGCAGTTTGAACTTATGATCTATCCTGACACTCCAAATGCAGTGCTGCATTGTCAGAGATGCCATCCTTTGGATGAGTGCTAAACCCAGTTCCTACCTGCCTGTTCAGGTGGATGCTAAAGATTCTGTGGCACAATTAGAAAAGAGAAGGGTCCAGGCCAACAATTCCCCAGATGTAATTGATCATTCTCTTCATGGGTGTTTGTGGGACATTTCTGTGTGCATATTGGTTACTGTGTTTGCCTACAAAATATACAATCACTACACTTTACAGTAAATCCTGTGAAGTGCTTTGAGGCGTTTTGCCGTCATTACACATGAAAGGAGCTATGTAAGTGCCAAGCTGTTGTTGTTGATGATGGTACCAAGGGATCATTAATATCCACCAGGGCAGATAGACAGGACATCTACTTAATGTCACCTCCAACAATGCCACAGCCCCTCACTACTACACTGAAGTGTCATTAGGAGCTCAAGGCCTCTTATGGGATTCAAACTCTTTTGCTTGAGTGGACATAAAAACAATCTGCAACTTCTGCTTTGACAAATAAAATCATTCAGAGGCCAAAATAAATGTCAATAAAAGGGTTAAGAAACTGCAGATCCAGTTCAAACTGTTTCCACATCCTTAGCAAATACAAATATAAAACATGGCTTGAATTCATTACCTTTCATCTGTACATTCACTGTCAACATCCGCATTACACTCTTCTTCATAGTTCTGCCCCCACGTCAGAAGAACAGATGTTGATGTTAAGGCATTTATCATTACTTGCAGAGGCCGGTGTAGCTCCACTGAACCTATAATCATGATAAAGCACATAACATTAATACGTTAACGCTTGTTGAGTACCACCGAACACCCAACACCAACCACAACAACAACAATATTACATTTGTAAAGCGCTTTTCACACTTTGCATAAGTCCAGTCTATGATACAAGTTTAAAAGCAGCCATTAAAATCGCTGGATGAATCTATCTTAACTTTTCCAATTTTAATTATTGTGAGCTTCCTGATGGTTTGAGATGGTAATTGAGGGATTATTTCAGAAACTAGTTTAGAGTCAATGGTCAAGTGGACTCCTTTTAGAGCTCCACCATCGGCAGTCGGTCCTTCAGCTCCTCTGCCCCATCCTTTGGAACTCCATCCCATAGTCCCTTCTAACAACACAAAAACATAAAATCAAGACCCTCTTCTTCGACCACCCACCTATCCTCCCTGCTCTCCATGACCCCTGATCCCAACCCCCTACTCAGATTCAAATCCCTGACTATCCTGCACCTTGGGACATCCTCCCGACGTGAAAGCCGCTGTACAAATGTAATTTGTTGTTTCCTTTCAAAACTTAAGAACCCTAGTTTATCCATGTGTTCCTCATCTCTCTGATTCTGGGATCAGCTTCATTACTCTTTTCTGCATTGCTTCCAGGGCTTGAGTGTCCCCTTATATCTCGGCAATTGGAACTATTTGTAGTACTTTATACAATGCTTGACCAGACTGTTCAGTCTGAGCATGACATCTCGGCTAATTTGGCTATCATTCCAGGGCAGGGTGAAATATTGGGTAAGTTTCCTTACTCCACACGCCTCTGTTTACTTAGCAGCAAGTAGGAACACGGTTGTTAGTCGATTGGCAGATTGCTTTTCCAGAGTAATAATCCCTTCACAAAATTTTTTTTTTTTAAAAATAATGATTTTGTCACTCAATCCAAGACTGCTTGTGGGACACTGCTGTGTGCTGTTGTGTTTCGCGCACAAAATATACAGTCAATTCACTTTACAGTATATTCTGTGAAGCGCTTTGAGATGCCTCGAAGATGTGATAAGGCGATATATCAAATGCAAGAACTATTATTAATATCATTAAAAATAAAGCTTGGATGTTTGTTTAAGCGCAGATCACAAACACTTTTATTCTGGGCCATAAGAGTGCCTGACCTAAGATTTGTTTTCAAATTTAAATTTCTTCTCCAGGTACTGAGAATAAAAGTCCCAGATCCTCACAAACTAAAGAAACCATAGCAATAGTTTGGAGTTTCAAGAGCCTATAGAAATTGTCCAGAGGTTGGAGAGGAGAAGGTGTTCAGTCTAGATAATTGGTCTTTAAGAACATTTTTTAATCCCGTCCATAAAGCATGGGTTAATTCAAGAACAGAATGCATTTAGGAACATTGCTTTCTCCTCCTCCCCCAACAGGTTCCATCGAAAGTTTATCAAGGAGCAAAGTAGAACGTATTATTTGGATTATAAATCATTAGACCAGACTGGCAGTCAACAATCATAGAATGTTATTGCACAAAAACAGACCACTCAGCCTATCAGGCCCATACTGGTGTTTTTCCTCCACTGAGGCTCGTGTCCTTAATCCAATAGTACATCTGTACACTGGTTGTGATGGATCAGAAGGTAAGCGACTCAACCACAGAGTCATCTGGTATATTTCACATTATCCAAAGTGAAAGGACACATGATAGAGACCGATGTGCTCCAGAAACTAGCCTACACGGTGCCAAGATAAACAAAAACTGTGTATTAAAGAAAATGCAACAACTATCTTTTAAATAAAATAAGATAAATTGTTCAATTATTACTGTTTCATTTCTATTTTGGTCTTAAACTTTTGGCAATTGAGTGCCAGGGATGGCTATCAAACAGAACCTAATCTCCAAACTCCTATGATTTTCCTGGACTTTATTGAAACTGAGCCAGACTGGATTCTTTGATGGCCTGATTTATATTTGGCTCTAATTTTGTACAACCCCCCAACCAAGCACAATTTTGCACAATTGGATATTTGCCCACACGCTATGCTTTGAGTAGGTTTGTAGCTTTGCATATAAGTGGGAGGTGCTGCAAACAGGCACATTCTTATTTATTTATAATATTAATAATCCCTGAATATGATATAGCGCCTTACCACGTCTTCAAGACCTCTCAAAGCACTTCACAAAATATACTGTCAAGTGATTTGACTGTATATTGTGTGGGTGAAACTCGACAGCTAATTGCTCACAGCAGTGTCCCACAAACAGTCATGGATTGAGTGACCAATTTATTATTATTATTATTTTTTTCTGAAAGAATTATTACCCCCGGAAAAGTGATTCACCAATCGACTAACAACCGGGTTCCTACTTACCGATAAGTAAACAGAGGGGTGTGGCATAAGGAAATTTGCACAACATTTCGGGAATTGAACCCAGGTCTCTCGCTTGCAAGACAAGTGCTCTAACCACTGGGCTACAGGACTGTGCACAACTGTGTTCTTAAGAAAATAGAATATATTTTACAAGAACACATTTTATGAGACCCCATCCCAACAAAGCAATGTTATTAAAATCCAGAGCACTGTGTTTTTAAGCTTTTACTTTAATTCAAGATTTTTTTATTATGTATCTGTGGCTACAAGAGAGTAGAAGCTGCCTTTGTGCTTCAATATTGATGTCAAGAACTCCATGTCATATATATCATAACAAAAGTTCCTAGTCTTGTCCATGTGCATTGTAATCCCAGTCTCAGAAGAGCATCCCTGGCTAGACTCGTGATTTTTTTTCAATTTCCCACACCAGCCATCCTTATGAGATTCTAATAACATTCCCAATTGAGTACCTACTTGTAGTGGCTTAAAGGCAGTTTGGTAGTGCAGGACCACATTTATAGCGATCAGAAAGAAACTCAGTCTGTCCCAGAACAATGTGCTAACCCTATACTCTATGGAGTTCCTCATTTCTTCCCCCCTAAACCACCTCCAAATAATCTTAATATATCTTTAATATATATCTGAGATGCCGTCCGGCGCTATATAAATGCAAGTTGTTGTTAATATAAGGTTTGGATCTAGATTCAAAGATTTTTTTGCAGCCAAGATGTGTCCTTTATCCCCCCCACCCCATCCCCCCACCCCCACCATCCCAGAGAATGTAGATATACTGTACTTTTGTAAAGCTTAATGCGTATCCAATTGTATTTTTGGCATTGCCTTCCTAGAATAGGAAGCTGTTTTGTTGATGATTGAATTTGGCTGAACAAGCAAATGACCCCTGGCAAGCAAATGACTCTTACCTAGTTCACTAATTTTCTACAAATAGACAGACCATTACATAAATGGATAATGGATAGAAGGATATTGTAAATATTAATGTTAAGGCTTGGGGAAAAGAAAACGTATTTACTCTCTTATAATCAAGATCTTCAAATAAATACTACATCCAACAGTTTCTAATATAGTCACTCATATCTATTTCAGATTTTCTATTTCTGTTATTCAGCCTTTAACCTAAACTGTCATCTATAGAACTGCAGAAATTTATCGCACAGAAGAAGGCAATTTGGCCCATTGTGTTGGTACTAGCGGGACATAACAAGTGTTCTTCCCCAAGGGTCTGTACTGGGGCCTCAGCTTTTCACCATATATGTATAATTTATTTGGATGAAGGTGTAGGGAGTTTTCTATCAAAATTTGCACTTGGCACAAAGTTAGGAGGCAATTGTATAGATTGGAAGCAGGAAGTTACAAAGGGACTTAGATAGATTAAGTGAGTGGGCAAAACTGTGGCAGATGGAATTCAATGTAGGGAAATGGGAGGTCATCCACTATGGATCCAAAAATAGCAAAACTGAATATTTTCTAAATAGTGAGAAACTAAGAACTGTTAAAGAGCAAAGGGATTTGGGTATCCACGTACACAAATCACTAAAACAAGCTCACAGGTATAAAAAGTTATCAAAAAGGTTTATGGGATGTTGGCCTTTATCTCAAGAGAGCTGGAATATAAAGAGAGGAAATAATGTTTCAACTTTGGTTGAGTCTTAGTCAGACCCCATCTTGAGTACTGTGTTCACTTTTGGGCACTACACCTCAGGAAGAATATATTGCCTCTGAAAGGAGCTCAGCGCAGATTTACCGGAATGATACCAGTCCTTAAAGGGTTAAATTATGAGGACAGGTTGCATAAACTTGGTCTCTATTCCTTTGAGTTTAGAAGGTTGAGGGGTGATCTGATTGAGGTTTTTAAAATAATGAAGGGATTCAATAGGGTAAATATAGAGAAACTATTTTCTCTGTTGGGGGAATCTAGAACAAAAGGGCATTATCTTTAAATTAGAGATAGGCCATTTAGGCGTAAAATTAGGAGGCAGTTTTTCACCCAAAGGGCAGTGGAAATCTGGAACTCTCTCCCCCTCCACCCCAAAAGGCTGTGGATTGTTCACATTTTCAAAACTGAGGTAGATAGGTATTTGTTTGGTCAGGGTTATTAGGACGGGCAAAGAGAGGTAATTGGAGTTGAGGTACAGATCATCCCTGGTCTCACAGAATGGCAGAACAGGCTCAAGGGGCTGAATGGCATACTCCTGTTTCTATGGTACTGGTTCTTTGAGGCCAGTCCTAATGGAAATCTCAGGTATAATCAGAGTTGCGTGGGTGGTAGTTATGAGAAAATCGATGTCTAGACATCCCTGCTGATCTGGTTCAGGTGGCTGCGTACAGACAAATTGCCTCTATAATAAGTGTATACAGTGAGTCAATGTGAGTAGAAATGATTGAAAGATAGAAAAAAAATTGAACCTTTGCATTTTTTCACTGCGGAAGCACTGCTGTATTCAGCCACTGGATGAACTGCTATCAGATACTTGGGTGTGAACTCTGAGAACAAAGAAAAGAATATCAAACCAGTTAGTAAAATGTTATCATCGTGGTTCATCGACAATCTGAGTGGAATCATATCAGCTAGCTGCTAGCAGCCAGAAGGTTGATTCCATGCACCTTAGTTTAATGTCTCATTTGAAGGATGTCTCCTGCAGAGAGCTTCCTCAGAACTGCGAGCCATAAATCATGAACTCAGACATGGGCTACATTCACACCCAAGTCTCAGCAGTGTGTATGTGGAGGAGTGTGGGTGGTGTGAATCAGCATTCAAATCCATTGCTTCACACAGTTGTCTAAAACAGAGGAATCTTTATTACAAGAACAAATCCAGTTTCCTCAGGAAAGCTAGGAATAAGCCGTCAGGAAGGTAACCAGTCCTTAGTTTGTATAAGAACATAATAATAAAACTGCACCACCTGATATCCAATACTATCCATACTATTCAAAGCATTTTGAGATGTACTCCAAATAGGAAAAATGCAGCATAAGTTAACTTATAATACAATTTGCTTTTATAAAACGCCTTTCACATTGTCAGGACGTTCCAATATGTGTTTACAGTGTTGGGTGGGCACCTGAACGGAGAGGATTGGGGTGGGGTGGCAGCCAAGGTCGGTGGGAAAAATGACCGATAGCCCGATCCAAGGGGAACATTTTAAGACTGACCTTGAAAGAGAGTCGGGAGGGAACGAGATGGAGTTCCATAGAGTGGGGGCAGAACAGCTAAAAACCTGCTCACGATGGTGTAGTGGATAGAGCAGAGGATATGAAGCAGGCCAGTCATGCTCACTGAGCAAAGTGCATAGGCTGGTTGTTAGGGTCATTGAAAGAGGTCGCAGAGATAGGGTGGGGCAAGAGTGGGAGGAAATTAAAGCTGATGGGTTTGATGCTGTATATGGGACGAGTGGTCCATCACTTGCTGTAAGTTTAAACTCTAATATGGAGCACCATTGAGCTAAAGTGTTGGTTGACGTGTATTGCTTCTGGTGTTGTGTGATTGTAATGGGGGGAGATTCCTTTGTCGACCGACTTCGCCAAAGATGCAACATGTAACATTGACTCCAGCCCACGTGAAGTGATGAGACAGAACTCAATGTTCACTCAGAGATTCCAATCACAAGCACATTGCTGTTGTGGAGAGCCAACAGGAAACTAGTTATTCCCCAGAAGAGGGAGAACCCAGGAGTTTAGTCATCACCAGGCTCTCACACGTCTCAGAGAAACAGACTTAAAAGATTAAGAGTTGGCATTGTCCGAGGGATAGCTATGCCTCCTGCCCTCTTAAGCACAGGTTAAAAGAGGAGAGAGAAAAATGGGAGACGGGAGGGAAGGACACAAGAATGAAAGCACCATCAAAAACAAACCAGTCATTATAAATATAATGGCCAGCGTTTTATAAACAGCTGTGTGATTTATAGAAGGCGTTCAAGTTTATGAATATTTTTCTCTGGCCAAAGCACTCATGCTCAATTATTTAACTCACATGATTCTATTTATGCAAAACACTGCATTTAAATTATGTAATTTAGAAAAGTGTTCATGTAATTGAGCGAAAGACCCCACCCTATGACACCCATGCCTTCCATGACTTAAAAGAGAATTATGCCATTGGGCAAGCATTAAACAGGAACTAGGAAAAATATTTGAATTGTGGTCACAATGTTTACTTGTAAATCCTGGCAAGAATTAATAATTTTGAAGGAGCTAAATAATGGAGTGAGTGAGTGAGTGAGTGAGTGAGTAATACGTTGACCTCATCAGAATAATTTGGTTCCCATTTGAACTGTCAGGTGCACCAGTTAGTACAGCTGCAAGATGTGAAAATGAAGAGAGACATAAAATAACCATCAATATTAATGATTGATTATCTTTTTATAATACCAATGATCCTTGCATTTGATATAGTGCCTTATCACATCTTTGAGACATCTCAAAGCACTTCACAGAATGTACTGGAAAGTGAATTGACTATATTTTGTGGGCGAACCACAGCAGCCAATTGTGCACAGCAGTGTCCCACAAACAGTCGTGGATTGAGTGACCAATTTATTTATTGTTTAAAGGTAGGATCCTGAAAAATGCACACTGCGCAAATATGGCCTTGGTTATGATCTATGCAAGAATAACCTACAGCCAAATTGTTTTTGAAATGTAAATCTACAGAAGGATATGGAGGGAGTAAGGGGCATGTGGAGATTTGTGTGGAGTCATAAAAACGGCACAGACTAATTGGGCCGGATGATCTGTTTCCATACTGTACAGTCTATGTCTATGTACATTTATGTTAATATTTAATCAAATTGTTATTTTCCATATGTGCTAATACATGCCCTTCACTGCAAAGATATGTTTAATGTGAACACCTGTAAACTATTTCTTGTTCCAATATGTAATAACCCTGTAATTATTTGCATTAAAGTCCATCTGCCCCTCCTTGGGCAATCTGTTTGGAAATATAATCTGTTCAAAAGGTTAAATGAATTAGTAACAACTGGTAAATACCTTCTTTAGCCCTACAAGTTTAAAGGAATTGATCACGCAATGTTACAGCTTGCAAAGCAAACTCTTTGTACATCCAAAATAAGCAGAATTGGTTGCCAAGAGAATGCTAATTTGTTGCGTCCCTCTCTGATCCCATCCTCACATGATTTCCCAGTCAAACCATGGAAAAGCAAAATGACTTCACCAATTTCAATTCATTTCTTAAACTATTTGAACGTCACGCACAGGAAAACGCGTTTGATTTTTGCTGAAAATAAAATGTTCATTTGGGAATTTTCGTCTGAATTCATGTCAGAATCCAGCTGAAAGTACGTCCACAATCATGCCATTTCAAAAGCTGGCTCAGTCCTCAGCCATCCTACCTTTGAGTCAGATATTTGTGAAAACTTTGACTTTGAACTTATGTAGTCAAGGCTGATACTCCAATGCAGTGCTGAGGGAGCGCTGCTTTGTCAGAGGTGTCATCCTTCAGATGAGATGTTAAAATGAGTTCCCAAATATTTATTTAGGTGAATATTAAAGAGCCAATTGCACAATTCAAAAAGTGAAGGGAGTTTCTATCAGTGACCTGGGGAATAATCTCCCCCAAAAAATTGGGGTATTCACTTCATGGCGTGATTGTGGGATATTGCTGTGCATAAATTGGCTGCTGCATTCGCCTACAAAATTTATGGTCACATCACACCTCACAGTGAATCCTGTGAAGTGCTTTGAGTCATCCTTCCGCTGTGAAAGTTACTAGATCAAAAATGAAAGGATTTTAATTTGATCAGTATTGGCAAAGGTTATTACCTTTTTTATTTTCATTTTGGTAAAGGTCGCACACGCACTTTTTGGATTTGTCGACAAAAGTAGGGTCAAAGCCTATAAGTTATGCAACCATAAGATATTTTGTGAAGACTCATAACATATTTTAAAAAATTCTATCCTGGAAATTGACAAACCGCCCACAAAAAGCCAACCATCAGATCAAAACCATCAGCAATGGCCTCCTGAGTTTCTTTTGACACTCCGTACCAACCATTGCACTTGAGGCCACACTCACGGAATTAAACATTCGACTTAATGGAGACATGAAAATCCAGCTTCACAGATGGCGATTACACTTAACAAAACACATGAAGTTCAACTTCACAGAACACATAAGATTTAAACTTCATAAAACACGTGACCATTAAACTTCATAAACTGTCTTTCTTGGAAATAATCAAATGGGATAAAATGTGATTAAGAATCTTTATTCCAGAGCAAGGGGAAGAGAAAAAGACCTCCTCACCTGTTCTGCTGTTGTAGCAAGAGTTTACAAATTCTCCCTGTTCAAAAGCAGACCCTGTGGAAAGCTCAATCCCTCCATTGCTTCCAGGCCTTACGCTATCATCGTTCTAACTCACTCAGCGACTTGCTCTCACTCACTCAGTCACTTGCTCTCACTGACTGAGGAAAGGTGGAATTGTGTTGTAAGTGAGTAGGATAGGAGGTAAGAGTGCTAAAGAGAGTGAGTGTCTTGCACAACAAAGATGCAGTGAATACACAGAGGTAGAGGGTAAAATGAGTGTGAATGATGAGAGAAATGGGAAACAACAAATGAGGGTGCCAGAATTACAATGACAGAGTGACAGACACAGAGAGAATAAACCCAGAGTCATAATGGGTAAGGGAGGAGGACATAAACTGGAAGTGATGAAGAGTAAGACAGAAAGAGACACAGACAAACAAGAGACTAATTGACAAACAAATTAGATTTATTACTCAATCTCTCTATCACAGACCTTCATTGCCATGTGCTCCAGCCTGCCAGGATTGCCCATCTTCGGATGGCCTGCTTTACTAGTATCTAAAAAAATGATCTTCCAAAATATACAGTTCTCTTGAGAATTGTTTGGCTAAGGGCCCACTCAGTCTATTAGTCTGAATACAATGCACCAAGCCCTTCGCTTGATTGCAAATGTGTTTCATTCCAAGGTAAATCAAAATGGAATAAAGACTTCAAGATTTATTTTCATTGTTCTTATCTGACTTGCCACTTCAAGGAAATCACTATAATTGCCAGGGTTCATTTGTAATTCTAACCTTTTAGTCTTACAAATTCTATAAATTTGATTTTATGCTTCTTAAATAATCATGCAATTTAGCCACTTAGAGAAAGTCAACTGGACAAAATGGGAAATCGAAACCTTCATCTGGGAAAATAATAACAGTTGCATCTGACAAGGTGCTTGATTATATTATCAAAGCATCTTAAAGTGCTTGCCAGAATTTCCTGTAAAGTGCAGTGACTGTAAAAACATTATTCTGCTGGAAATACCCCCATTGTATTGCTGCATAGATTTAATGCTGTAACCAATCCTGCATTTTCTGACTATTTATTTATGAAATAGAACTGAGGAGTGACCGGAAAATCAGTTTTATATCATCCAACCCTATGTATATCTATAATGTACAGATACAGGAGAATCCCGTTGTAGCACTCTTCAATAGAAAGCTGCCTTGCTACTATGGATCCAGACTAAACAGATTTATGGCACTGACTAGCTGGTTCTTGCCTACAAAATGGCCATCTTCTAGGTTGTTTCTGAATTCACTTCCTGTGCATTATGCCTAAGCAATGCTCCCAAAGCACTGCTAATGGCACCTTGTAAAGGAAGTGACAGCAGTGGCAACTTAAAAGTCAGCAATTTTTCTGGGTCTCATTAAGTGCCTCAACTGTCTATTCATAACATGTTTTCCATGTCTGTTAATACTCAGTACTCTGCTCATTTGCAGCTCCAACTTCATCCTTCAAAATACAAAAATCCTTGTCAGATATTGACTGGGTCACATCTTGAATGAAGCCCTCTCATTCAAGATGTGACCTGGGTTTTCCAAACACTGAAAAACCTTTATTGTTACGCTGGTCTTGAGCCAGTGAAAGATTAAAGGCTGCTCCCACCTTTCAAAAGGAAAAGGTTTATGTGAAGATTTGTATCAAAGTTAGAAATAAAGGGGAAAGGGTTACTATTTTGAAAAGGGGCACAGAAAATAGAAAAGAAGAGAAATAAGGAAACAAACAATGACAAGACAAGCCTAAATATTTTGGATTTTTATTTAAAATGATATTTTCTGTGTTTGGTTTAGTGGGTTTTGGTTGTTATTATCACAATAAACTTCTTCTGATGTTTGCATATGTTTATTGTGGCTTTGATTCAGTGCTTGTGTGAGAATGTGCAAAACTAGTCAGCCTAAAAAAAGACAGCAGTCAATAAGGAACTGATTAAGGTCTAACCATTTATAAGAAGTTTACTCCACACATTCAGTACTAATTGTCCACCTCTGAGTGGCACTGTTGCTGGATATTTCATCCATCCTCATTCCTACACACTGCATTTAGCTGACATCAATGGGTTAATTTGCAACAGTGCCATCTACAGTCCTTCAGGAAAGTCTTTCCATCTGCTCCATCACAAGCTGTCAAACAGCGAAAATGGGATTTTTTTTTACAAACTTAATATTGGCAAAGCCACTGGGCTTACTTCAACTCTTTGTTATTAGTGCCATCATTGTATCATTGTTGCATGTGGACAGCTGGATCAACCATAGTTAACTTTCCATATAAAAGGATGATATTCTTCCAGTCAGAAGACACAGTAATGGAAACTCAGTGTTGATTTGTCACATTGTCCTCATCACCAAGAATCTACAGGCCTACACTTGCACGGCATTCGATCAATGACCATGAAGATGACAGCACCAGCTAACAGACCAAGATGTATTATGTTGAAACAAGTTACTAGGAAGTCCTCATCTCCATTTCTCTCCTTCCCGGAGGGGGGAGAGGGGGGGGGGGGACAGGTATGGGCGCGGATTTCCAGTTCATTGGAAGTGCTGAATGTCCTCCATCTAAGTGGCCATTCGACATACGTGAGACTCAACAGTGAATACGGGTTTTTGGATTGTGATTGTGGGGAGTGGGAAATGAAATCATTTTGCTTATAAGACCCTTACAAGGAATTTTTTCCAAATATTAACAGTATTAAAGAGACCACACTGAACCCAGATATGGCTGAACTTGCCATCGGCATCAATGAGACAGGCATCGGATACCTCTCCAGGTCTTATATGAAATAATTTTGCTTGTGAGAGAATTTTCCAAATGAACATGGAATTTCTCATAATAAGAGTTTCAGTGTAGTACAACTTCTATCCATTTAACATTTGTTTATGTCCGTAATCTGTTGAATATATTTATGTAAAACACAGTATTGGAAGGAACAAATCTCACAGTTCACTTACGCAGGAAAAATGATTTTGATTAATATTGACAAAAGTAAAAATGGTAAGATAATAATAATGTTCCTTGAATTTGATGAAGCGCCTTATCTAAAGCGCTTTACAGAATATACTGTAAAGTGAATTGACTGTATATTTTGTGGGCCAACCACTGCAACCAATTGCGCACAGCAGTGTCCCACAAACAGTCGTGGTTTGAGTGACCAAATTATAATTTTCTTAATATCATTTTTTTTAAAAAGCGGAAAAGCGCTCTGCCAATCAACTAACAATTGGGTTTCTACTAACTGTTAGATAAACAGAGGTACGTGTGGAGTAAGGAAACTTGCCTAACGTTTCACCCTGCCGGGAATCGAACCCAGGTCCTCCCTCTTGCGAGGCGAGTGCTCTAACCACTGAGCTACAGGACACCACTACCTCAGTCTTTTTTGAGTATTATTTCTTATGGAATCAAAAGTACAAAGGTACTTTCATTATATTTATGAGTCTCCCTACAAGGCAGTCATTTAGCCTTTTTGATCAAATGCTAATCCCCAGCGTTGCTGTAAAAACATTTCTGGATATTGCCAAAAGGAAGCACCTAGAAGGAAATGGGGTGGTACAACGGTTGAGATAAATTTAAACTTTTTTCCTTTAGAAAATTCCATTGTTCTGCTGCACATCTGGCTTTAATTTTCCATTCTTAAATGAAAGCACACGGAATAGATTTCTTACCAACATCAAGCTCAATTGGTTCCCCATTATCTGGCAGTGAGATGTTTTGCTTGGAGTAGCGGCCACCATATCCCAAGATGTAGCCTCGGAGCTTGATGGCAGGGTGAGGAGCGAGGTACTGAAATACGATACTGTCGTCCTTAGCTGTGATACGCACCTTCAAGCTTTCTCTTTTAACTGGTGGAAAAACACATAAGCAAAATAAATCAGTGCTTGATGAATTCTGAATAACAAACATGTAGCCAGTTTGCTTTGGATGACAGACTGAGGGATTGAGTGTGTAAATATGAATGAACATGCGCCTAAATCAAAGTGTAGTTCCATAAAAGAACATAACAATAACAACTTGCAATTATATAGCACCCCTCACACGGGGTAGCGTCCCAGAGAACTTGACAGTGGCAGAGCATGACTAAAAGAAACATTTATTTACAGGATAAAAAGAGACATTTATTTACAAACCTTAATGTAGCCAATCGTGCTATTCATTCAATCAGAATGAAAATAACGAAAAAAATAATCTGCCCAAATTGCTCTGCTTTTCTCTAAAGAAATACATTTTATTCTTCAGACTTTTTTTTATACTGAAGTTAAGAGTATGGTGGGACTCAAGAGGTCTTTACCTGACATGATTGAATGGGGAGTGGAATTCTATACTCAGATTAGGTTTGTGGATATGCTTAACTGGAGACAAATGCATTCTTCTTGCTTTGCATAATGTTTTCATGCACTGGTATTTGGTAAGTTAAAACATTCTTGAAATAAAAACACAAGTCGCTGAGAACAAGCAGCAGGTCAGGCAGCATCCATGGAGAGAGGAAAAATTAGTTAACGTTGCAGGTTTATGACCTTTCGACAGAACTCTTGGTCAATTGCTGTCCAGTTCTGATGAAAGGTCATAGACCTGAAACTTTAAGTAATTGTTCCTCTCTCCATAGATGCTGCCTGACCTGCTGCATGTTCCCAGCGACTTCTGCTTTTGTTTCAGACATCCAGCATCTGCAGTATTTTGCCAAAACATTCTTGATCCTTTTTTTTTCAGAAGTTAGAAAAACTGGATCTAACGCTGGATATCTTTGAACAAGGCCTCCGAATTCAATGGTGTTGAATCCTTTTTTGGTTTTAGATGTGTATATAATACAAAGATGAAAACCAACATTTAGTAGGTCACTTATCCCCTACTGAGGATCATTTCTTGATGCGGAGACATTTTCTCAGCAATAATAGCATCCATATTGAATAAATATGCTATTGTTGGCTACAGGGCGTGAAAGACTTAATCCCAGGTGTAACGTAAAGTGAAATATTTCAGGGCTGTTATATTTTTATTGCATTTCGGAAATACTACTATAGTCTTCAAAGGATGCATAAATTGTTGTAAATTACATCACTTGCACAAAATATCACAACTCTCTGGGTAGTCAAGTCATCAGAATAGTTTTGATAGAAAATAGAACACAGTAATAATTCTTGCATTGGATATGGCGCCTATAACGTCTCAAAATGTTTCACAAGTAATTGCTGTCAAGTGTAGCCTCCATGAAGTGAATGCTCAATTTGTCTGGACAATTGTTGCCAGGACAGTGGGAAAAATTCCTTCCCTTTTCGAATAGTGTCATGGGATTTTTAACATCCACCTAAATAGGCAAATGGGACACACGTTTAACATCTCATAAGCAGTACATCTGACAATGCAGAACTCCAGTGAGCTACAAGTTCCAATACAGGGCTTGAACCTATAATCTTCAGACCCAGAGAGAGTTCTGTGGTCTGAGCTCCAAGCTGTCATATTCTCCAGCAGTATTGGTTAATTGGTTAATGGACTGCTTATTGGCTCTACCCCCATCATACCAGTTCTACCCAGGCTCCACTGGTTCCTATCACTGAACTGATCGATTTCAAGATCCTCACACTCATTTTCAAATCCCTTCATGCCCTGGCACCTCCCTACCTCTCTGACCTGCTTACCCCCCAACCCGCTGCCTCCACTCGACCGGCTCTGGCCTTCTGCATGTCCCTTATGCCCTCCATTCACCATTGAAGGCTGCACTTTCAGCAACTATGCCCCGAAACTCTGGAACACTCTTTCTCTATCCCTCTGCCTTGCCCCTTCCTTCCCCATCTTCAGGTCGTGTCTGAAGACCTTCCTCTATGATCGTGCCTACGGTCACCTCCCCCTCCCCCCAGCTCGGCGCTATGCTTCCCCACCATCAAGCACTCTGGGACACTACCCTGTGTGAGGGGGTGCTATATAAATGCAAGTTGTTGCTGTTTTAAGAAAGTACTGAGTACATTTTTAAAAAATCTGTACATTTGATCCAGCATCTTTCACAGCGGGAGGACGTCTCAAAGTTGTTCATAAAATACACTGCAAAGTGTAGTGACTGTGTATTTTTGTAAGCGAAACTGGCAGCCAATTCGCACACAGCAATATCCTACCAAACAGCCAATTCATTTCTCTCCCCTGTACTTCGAGACTTTCCACATCTCCCAGGACATCTCGCACTGCTTCACAAGATAAATGTTATGCACATAAAAGCTCCATAAGAAAATAAAGAATTTGAAGAGCTGTAACATTTTTAAACATTGTTGCCTCAATGGAATGTTTATTTAATTCAGAACTGGGGTTTCCATCAGGGACATCTTGTCTCACTGACATCAGTGCTAAAGCATGTGCAATCGTTTTTGTGCAATGCATTCGGGTATTTCCAATCTTCCTAGTTACTGAAATGGTTTCCAGGCTCTTAAAACAATATTTAAAATCCTTTATTTTCCACACACCCCTCCCTTTAACTCATCAATAAAAGAGATGGACAGTTCATTTTTTTCTTTTCCTCTCCCCACGCCCAATTGGGAGTTAATACGCGTTTTAAGTTGAATAGTTTATAATGCAGCTTGGGTTCCCCACTAACCAAAATTAAAGGTGCGATCCAGTTCATAGGTAACGGCATTGAGATCAGTGACAGATAGGAAGGATTGGGAGGGTCGGGGGGAGCTGGTACACTTATAAATGATGCACTACAAATCAAACATAACCACATATTGGGACTTCACTGTCTACCATTTCAAAATATTGCCGAACCTGGAACGAGTATTGTGAATCAAAATGCAGTGTGATCTCACCTCTGTACAATAGACATTTAATAATAATAATAATAATGCTTTATTCACAACCTGTTTCGCCCTCTCCCCCCAGCCCTATTGAACATAAGAACAGGAGTAGGCCATTCAGCCCCTCGAGCTTGTTATGCTATTCTATTAGATCATGGCTGACCTGTTCCTCAATCTAATTGCTGTAACTAAAACATTTTTCATTTTCTTGTTGCTGATGCTACTAGTACTTTATGCAGTAAGGATATTCTGATGTCCGGTTGCCCATTGCTGTAGTAGCCGGTCAATCAATCAGAAAGGTTAGTACTGCGCATAACAATAATTCTTGCATTTCATGTAGCTCCTTATCACATTGAAATGCTTCAAAGTGCTTCGTAAGATTATTGGAAAGAGTAGTGATTGGATTTGAGGGCAAACACAGCTGCTAACTGCATACAGCAATGTCCCACAAAGAGCCATGAACTGAATGACTAATCTTTTACCTGGGGGATTGTTTGCCAGGATAATGAGAGAAATGTCCTTCTCTTTTTGAACAGTGCCAGATGGATAATTGGGAAAGTGAGATTAAAATACCTACCGTTATCTCATAAAATGGTAAAATTGTCTTGCTGAGCTGATCTCAGGAGATCTAACATGCCGGATTTCTTAATAATAAATGTACAGTTATCAAATTTCTAAAAGATGAAACATGACAAATGATGTATTGGCACAGTTGAAGTTTTATAAATTCGGTAGTTGCACATTTTTTTTAATTGCCGCAAATAATCAAACTTCCCATTTTACTAAAATATACCATTTACAGTTCAGTTTTGAATGAACCTTTTTACCCAACTCAAAGTATTTACATTCCTTGTGAAAAGGACAAGTGCCTAATTTTATAAGCCCACCATTTTGTTAAGGCTCTATCGTGCTTATTGGCCATAATGTTCTTCCCTTATTATCATCATTTATATCAATAATGAGCCAATAATTTCCATTATACTTCATAAAATTCCCAGTATCCCTCGTTTCCCTTACAAAATATACAGTCAATTCATTTTAAATATATTCTCTGAAGTGCTTTGAGACATCTAGAAGACACGATAAAGTGCTATATCAAGTGCAAGGATTATTATTTAAAATTGTTATTGCTATATTTATGGGGCACTGTTTTTATGGAAAAGTATTTGGTAAAACTTTTGTTTCAAAATAAAAAGCAAGAAACCTGTCGACCTTTTCATTGGGCTGATATGACATGTAAGCAATACAGCGATGCAATTCAATGTGGTTTACGTCAACAAGACTTAAATTTATATATTTGGCAATTTTCTTGGCACCCCTTAAAACACCAGCTACACAGTTAACCTTTTGATTTTCTTTAACCTGAAAAATAATAACATCTTTCAAATTGCAGACAGACGCCTGAAATGTAATTTTGCAGAGAACAAACAACAAACTGAACAAACAAGTACACATACATAAAAGCATGGCAAAGCATGGAATAAGGATCAGGCCCATTAAATTTGCCTATTTCATAGACCACAAACAATGCACATTGTGGTTTACTCCACCACACGCACTCAAACCCCTGAGGGAAAGCTATAGGCACATAAGACAAAATGGAGGAAATAAGGATTAAAATGACTGGCACCAACTGAGGCATTAATACCAGAATCAGCTTGATGGGCCATATGGCCTACTTCTGTGCTTTAACATCTTTGAATTTAGAAGAAAGTGCAGAATGAAAAATCTGGAGCACTTTAAAAATTTGTGTACAATACTCCATTGCACTTTACGTCAGTAAGCAGTGAAGCATTGATAATAATAGTACAGTAATAAGCATTAACGGGTGTTACAGATAAATGGTACAGTCCACATCATTTCCATTCTCCAGTTCATAAAGCACCACGTGTGAAATCAAGAAATTACTTTTAAAAATGGCAGCAAATAATGTAAGAGCAAGAACATTTCAATCGAGGAACACAAAAATAAGAAATGGGTACAAATCAATGAAATCCCTGCGCTTATTACTTTTGCTAACTTAATAAAACTCAGTAAATAGTCACTTAGCTCTCTAAGCAGAAACT